TTATTATTATTATTATTATTATTATTATTATTATTATTATTATTATCATTATTATTATTATGAATTGTTCTGTTGTCTCGGCCAGGCGCGGACCTATGTATCGCCGACTGCGAGGGTCTCACGCCACTCACCACGGCCATCATCAACGAGCAGAAACTGGTGGTGCGTGCTCTCCTCCGCGCGGGGGCGGGGCCTGACTACACGACAGACAGCGTGGCTCCGCCCCTCTACCTCGCGTGTGTCCGCGGTCTTCACGACATCGCTGCCGACCTCCTACGTCACCACGCCGACCCCAACGTGACGTCACCACACAGGGAGGACACGCCCCTTCACTGCGCCATCAGGAAAGCCGACACGCGACTGGTCAAGCTGCTTCTACAAGCCGGTACCCCTCCCATGCTTTCATATTTTAAAATGATAATAATGAAGATAATTTCTATAATGTCCAATTCTGTACGATACAGCTCTATAGTCCGGACAACACCAAATGGACAACTTACCGACCTCATTACACCGAATCTAAGTGTCGAATCTCTCTGAGTTTTTGATGCGCCTCTGAATTCTAAAGGATCAAGAAATAAACTCAATTTTCGGGCATTTACGACAAATATAAGGAGGTGTTGTGTACATAATCATTAGCAATTAATTGCTCATTTAACTCAACACCGCCCACTTTTTATAGCAAGCGCGGTACTATGCTATAGCCAGAACAATACAGGGTGTCGTTGCAGGGGCTAAGCCAGAAATGTCGGGATGAAACAGTTCCGTCTAACCCAAACCGGGGGTCAACAGAGTGGTACATTTGACAGAAAATTGAAACGCATGCAGTCTCAAAGACTGGAGATTTCAAAGAAATTTTAATCATTGTATATAACAATAATTAGTCAATCTAAATACACCCACTGTCACCCACTAATCTCTGGACTGAAAACAACTCCGTCTTGCGGCACATGCAGTCCGTACAAAAAACGAAAATAGATTTAAACAAATAAAACCGAAACAAAAAACAACAACACACAACACTCAACTACAGTTCTTGTTCTGACAACAACCGCCCCCCCCCCCCCACGCAGCCAGTAATTAAATACTAATGATTATATACAAAACACCACTTTGTATTTATGTTTGTTGCATATGCACGATCATCAAGATTTCAATTTTTAAAATTTAATTTTTTTTTTAATTTTTTTTTTTTTTTTTGGGGGGGGGGGGGGGGGGGAGAATTCAGGACATTTGCAAAACCATCAGGGCAATTTTCCGCGCTTAGTTTCTGTGTAATGAGGTCAACAAGTTGTCCATTTGGTGTTGTTCGGACTATATATCTATCAGCCTTTGTGATCCCTTTCTGTTTCATCGCTTCGTCTCTCTTTAATTCAAAATTAAGCCCTACGCCTTACACTCTTCACCTCCCCATCATTTGCTGTATCACCTCTTCCTATCTCCACCCCCCCCCCTTTCCTTTAACTGTCTCACCTCTTCCTATCTCTCTATTTAAGTCAATAATATCAACCCCTCCCCGCTCCCCCCTTTCCATTTCTTTTTTTGTATCGTCACTTCCTATCTCTCAAAGTCAATAATATCAACCTCTCTCCCCCCTTTCCGTTCTCCCTCCGCCTCCCCCACTCATCACCCCCCTCTGCCCCCTCCCTCTCACCCCCACCCCGCACCCTCCCCCTCCCCAGGCGCCCAGCCCACCCCCTGTGCCTCCACCGTCGACTGTTACTTCGACGACTCCCTCCTCAAATCTCCTCTCCACGAGGCTCTCCTCCTCGGCCACACGGCCATCGCCGCCATGTTGATGAAGTCAGGCTGCTTCCGCTTCGAGAACGTGACGTCACTGGCCGAGAGCGAGGCTTTGGCGCTAGAACTGAGCAGTGCAGGGCGCGGGGAATGCTGGGACTTCCTGCAGTGTGTGGCCGAGTCAGCGCCAAGGCTAGAGGACATGTGTCGCTGGGTGGTCTCTGAGACTGTAGGGTTTGGCGCCAACAGGAGACAGAGTGTGCGGGAGTTGCCCATTCCAAACATGCTGCAACAGTCTCTCATATCTTTGAACTTGTGAAAAAACAAACAAAGTAATGTATTACAATAGTATGTAAAGTAAAGTTGTTCCCGCATCCGATCCGGACATTGGGGGTTGCCTCGTTTACAACTTTTACTACGATGTCGATACTCTAGTGGTTAGTGGGTGGTTGGCGGGTGCTCTGGTATGGTTTTCTCTTTCTTTACTATCAAACAACTGTCGTCTTTATCACTCCTCCTTCTTTTTATGTTTGTTACTCTCTAATCTTCGCCACTTATATGAACTTATTGTGTTGCAAGTGCCGTAAAACTCTTACTAAAGCTAAACTAGTGGTTAGACTACCGAACTCGTCATCGTTATGCAATGGGTGGCTATAGCAGTCTAGGTCCAGTGGTTAGGTTAAATTAGAGTTGTTCCCACATTCGATCCGGACATTGGGGATTACCTTGTTAGTGAGACAACTTCCTGGGCCTTCGGCATAATAATATTGTGGTAGGGTGGCCAGTTCCTTTCAACGCCGCCTTTACTTCCCCAACTCGAAGTCAGGTACCTATTACTGCTGGGTGGGCAGGAGGGGGAGAAAAAAATCCTTGTCCAAACCCAGGCTCGAACCCGGATTTTCTGCTCCGCCACCGCACCCGTGGCTAGGGTACCAGACTCGTCATCGTGGGACCACGGGTCCCGGGCTCAAGACTCAACTTTGCCTTACGTTGTGTCCCTGGGAACAAACACTTTACACAAATTCTATCTTTTGACTCAGCCCTATTGGACACAGACGTTAAAATGCCCCCCCCCCCTTCTTAAAATATCTTACAGTGTTGTAAAAAAAAAAAAGGGGGGGGGGGGGCTATACCATAATCGATTCTGGAACTGCAGGGGTTCGGTTCTCCACCAAGCTAAATTTGGGAGGAGCTGAAGTTGTTTTTTTCCCGAATCCATTTTCGGATTATGTTTAATAATGTAATAATATGTAGCAGCGATCACTTTGCACCGAGCAAAGTCATTTTGAACCATTAAAAGTGCAATACATGACCTATTTCGTGAATCTCAAAGTTCTTGTGGTAATGTTGAAATGTCGTGTAACGTCCTTTTGTTCACATTGAAATGTGTAGCGTGTGTGTAGTGTAGCACACAGCCCCGGTCTCAAACATGAGCTCATCGTCAGCTCAGTTGGTAGCGTGCTGGGCTATGGTGCCTGTGGTTCGAATCCTCTTTTTGATATAGAGACGCAGTGGAATCCGGCGATCGTCAATTTTTGGTCATGTGGAGTTATTGGTATCATCTGAAAGCTGCTTTATTTGCCTTGCTACCAATGAAATAAATATCTATTCATCTTGAGCAGAAATCAAGATATCAGCATTTGAAGGGGGTGAGATCGCCTGGTTTCAGTGGTGAAATTGGCGAGAAAATGGCCACCAACATTGGGTAACTCCATCAGCTAAAGAGTTCTTGAAAACTAAAAAACGACATATTTTGTGCCTCTGATCAATGTTTCTAAGTAAAATTCACAAGGAAATGCGTTTTAATATGGAAATAAAAGAGGTTAAGCCAAAAAATAACAAGTCAATAAAACTTTTCAAACTTGCAGAAAAATGCCTGTTTCTCCGATTTCGTTATTTTAACGAGCGCTTGATTTCACCACGCTGCCTTACATAATGTTCTTGAACTTGGGTTGTTGAGGAGGCTGGCAAGGTTTTTCACCTGTATCGCTCTTCAATATGTGAAGCAGTGTGGTGGAATGAGGCGCTCGTCAAAATAATCAAACGAAGATATCAGAATTTTTCTCCGACGATTTGGCAATTTTTGCCAAATCCCTTTTTTTTTTGCTCAGCACCTTTTATCTCCATTTAAAACACATTTCTGTGTTGTTGTATACTTCAGAAAATGTTTACGGTACAAAAAGATTACGTCACCAGTCCATAAATTTACTTTTACGTGGTGGGTGGTTGGCGGGTGCTCTGGTGTGGTTTGCTTCTTCTTTCCTACCAAACATCAATCGTCTTTTATCTCCCCTCCTTCTTGTTTTTGTTACTCTCTTGTAACACCTCTCATCATCGGCACTTATAGGAACTTATTGTGCTGCAAGTGCCGTAAAACACTTACTAAAACAAAACGTTTACTGGACACACTCAGTCAAGTCTCCTGTAAGTGAAACATGGGAGTTTTATTGACAAGAAAAGAAGAGAGACAAAGGCTCACGACAATACCTAGGCAGACACAGACAAGGGCGGCTACACCCACTAGTCAACACCACAGTTGGTAAACGGACTTCTCAGGGTCATAGTACATAACGGACTTCTCAGGGTCATAGTACATAACGGACTTCTCAAGGTCATAGTACACTTGTAAACTGACTTCTCAAGGTCATAATACACAGTAGGAATAATAGTAACCAGAGGAAAGGAAACATCAGACGTCTAAACAGAACGCACTTTCTAATCACAAAGACACCATACCGGTGGCGTATGAAACAGCCCTAATGCTCCCTTCACACGTACAGTTCATTCATCGACAAGCAGACAGTATAACCGACGGACGCTAGATCTGAGTCATCGTTGAACTGATAGTTTGTCGAAGAGAGAAGTTCCATTTAGACCTACAGTTTTTTTTTAAACCTTAAAGTATCAGTCCTTGACAAAAGACACAAAACACACCCCAAAAATTAACTTGGTAATCTGGCATTAAATCGTGTTCCCCGCGTGAATTTCACTACTTTTTTGGTCGCTCATCACAAACATCTTATTATTTTTTAATTTGACCAATATTTAGGAAATTTTTGGAACGCATTTTCAACTCCGCCTGGGGCAACATCAAAGAAGCCGCTCCCTCGTCGTCACCCCTTCAGTTCGCCGGACGGAAAGTATCTGGCGTCGCCCGATCTCTGGTGGTTGGACTGAGAACCCTCCGATATCGACAGGATTTCTCGTTTCCACGCTCAGTTCTACCGGGAAGTTGACAGGGTGCAGACAGTTCTTTCGATATCCTACAGTTTGTCGATCAATGAACTGTAGTGTGAATTGAGCCTAATAAGTGACACAGCAAGAAACTGATGAACGAGGAATATTTAGCGTCAAGACCAAACCTAGATGACTCCGTACGTGAAAATAATATTGCTACTTTGTTTTCTGATAGGATCATACTGTGGAAAGACAGGTTTAGGTTTAAGGACGTCTAACGAAATCAAAGCGCATTAATGTAAATGTAGGTCTTTTTACGTCCTTATCCACATAATTTAAATCATTTGGGAGGCGGGCCTCTGACCCTGCTTGTTTGGACCAACCCGGGCTGAGAGGGATGCAACATTCCGGTAGAAAGAAAGACCGAGATACTCGATAACGATTCTCCCTACTCAGGATTCAAACTCAGGTCTTTTGAGTGCGACGGGACATTACTGCATCATAGACTCCGAATAAAGAAATTATTGTGGGTGGTTGGCGGGTGTTCTAGTGTGGCTTTCTTCATCTTTCCTATCAAACATCTGTCTTCCGTATCCCTCCTCCATCTTGTTTGTGCTTGTTACACTCTTGTGACACATCGAATCTTTGGCACCTATAGGACCTTATCATGTTGTAAGTGCCATAAAACACTTACTATAAAAAAAAGAAATTATTCAAATGAACGGAAGAAAATACATGTACCTAACGACAATAATTTATAGCGAATTCAAGACACCACTGATGACTCAGGAAATCAGCCACGGTTGAAAGAATTCAGAAGATAAACCCACAATCGTATTGCTGACTGGTACAACCCTTCAACAAAATCTACATCAATAAGGAGGCTGGCGGTTTTGATACAATCTTTTCGAGACAACCCACAGAGATTGAGACACGAACTGAAGCCTATTGTGTGCAGCAGCTAAGGGGCTAACCAACACACCGTGGACTCTGGGCTACACTCTGCACGCTTCCCGAGAAGCCCCGGATGTTTCTGAGAGTTCTGGAGTCTACTGGGGGGGGGGGTAATGATAGTTGGTCGCTTTTAAGGACAAGCAGGATTACCCAGATTTCGAGGATTTCCACAAATCTTGACCTATACCAAAAGTGGGCATTGCCCTACCTATAGGAGAAGTTTGGTTTCTCTGGTGTGCATATTTGTTTGATTATAGAGAAAACTCTCCTTGATTTTTAAAGAAACTGAACAAGGATCCAAAAACTTTCATCTTCGATTTTCTCAAAACAGCATTTTCCGGGATAGCCCCCTTGTGCTTAAAAGCGACCATTTGTTAAGCGCATAGAGCTTGCTGTAGAGAATGGATATGCGCGATATTATAAATGCAATTATCATTACAGATATTGATTGCCAACACAGTAAGATTGGATGCGATGTCACACGGAAAGAAACATAAAACAATGGTGAAATGTTACATGAGTGAATGGAGTTGTACACAATATGATGGTGAAAGAAGACCCGGTTTAGTGCAAAAAAAGTGTAATTATAGATGTTTTTACATCCCCACAGACACTATTTAGACCATTTAGGAGGCGGCTTACTCCTATCCTGTCTTCCAAAGCCAACCCCAACTGAGACAGATACAAAGTCTCAGCAGACAGAAGGAGGTATTGGATAAATAAGCCTCCATACATGAGGATTGAACTCAGGTTTTCTGTGGGTGACAGCGAAGTGCCTGACCGCTATACCACAGAGACTGGTGCGGTTTGGCGATCTGTACAGGGGTGTGGATTGTCAATGCGTTGGTTACAGGTTGTTCAACTTTCTTTCTGTCTTTCTTTCTTTCTTGCTCTCCTCCTTTCTTTCTTTTTTTCTTTCCTTCTTCTTCTTCTTCTTCTTCTTCTTCTTCTTCTTCTTCTTCTTCTTCTTCTTCTTCTTCTTCTTCTTCTTCTTCTTCTTCTTCTTCTTCTTCTTCTTCTTCTTCTTCTTCTTCTTCTTCTTCACTCTCAGTAGTAATTTCGAATGCTGTATCTTGCAGTACCTTACCCCAGTCATCCCAATCCCCCAACCCCATTCCATCCCCCCCACCCACCCGTCCACCATGTGCTGACTGTACTCAGTTTGTCCAGCATGCTAAAAATAATAGCCATACACACAACCTGGAAATGGATAATGTATGCAGAATATATACAGCAGTTTATCATGAATACACGATGATGAGATTGGGGAAACAAAGGGGGGGGGTTGGATTTCACGTGGGATTTGGGAACAACACAATAATAATAATATAATACAAACAAGTGTTGGCTAAACATTGACGGCATAATAAACACGTCTGGCCACACTGGATCGCCGTGACGTAGCAAATGGCGTAATCATGAAGTCCCCTCTGGTCTTCAGACAACAGGAAGTGAAAGTGTGTCATGACATGGCGAAACCAGGCGCTCGTCAGTTTTGGGGCATATTGTGAAGTTATTGGTACAATCGTATAATCTTAAATTTTGTTTATTTGTCTTGCTTTTTTTGGTTGAAAAATACCCATCTCTCTTTGAATAGAAGTTGAGATATTTGTGACTGAAGAAGATGGGGGTCCTCTGGAGTCAGAGGTAAAATTAGCAAGGAAAAGGGTACCAAAGTTTGGTGACATAATTTAAGTTTTGGCATAAAATGTGCCCCCCACCCCTGTAAAAATTGCCCTTTGGGCGGGAAAAAGTCGGTGTCTTTGACTTCGTTAGCATGTTGAGAGGCTGATTTCCCCGCGATGTGATCCTGAGAAACATAGCACAGATGAACACAAACACCAAGGGAAATAATCAATTAATGACAAACTAACAACAAAGAAAGATAATCGTTGAAATTGGACAAACACGCATAATAAAAGAGAAATACAAGTAAGAGCTACAAGGAAAAACAATAACATGATGGTCCAAGGGAACTAAATATATATTTTAAAAGTAATTTTATAAAAACCTGTGAAAAAAGTAATAAGATATCCCCATTCCATGTTCCCTTCTCCAACAAGTATCATGATGGTCCAAGAACCCAATATTCTCTTTTATCATCAAAGTCCGCTCAAAGCTGTGTATTTTGCCCCCTGTGTGTGATCCAAACAATTGTCTGAAGAAATCAATGACTAAGCATCACTCTTTAGCTAGCTCAGCTCCGTATACTTTTTCCCCTTCAAATAGTCTTCTATTTAGTTCTGTTTGTTAGCTCTAGTACGGTTTTACGGCGCTTCCAACTGCATAAGGTCACATGAGCGCCAGTAGTCTATGGACAATGATATGAGCGTTGATGATCAAGTCCACAGTACAGGAGAGAGGAGATAACATGTCCTTCGTGGAGTTGAGGAAGTTTTATACATACATATATATGTGTGTAATGTTCTTTCTGTAAAAAATCCTTTTTCTAAACGAAGATAAAGTGAATATTGTTAGGTTAAATTCTCTTTTTCACTCTTTTTTTTCACTGTCCAGAAATGTTACGGGAGTAATTTAAGTTTGGATTTTGACGAATGAAATTCTTAATCATTTTGCATAAGCGTAATTTACCAAAGGTTTCTAACTTGACGCAAATCATCAGCTTGATTCGAAACTACGGTGAGTTTCGTTTTACCGGTATTACTAGCTACCCTCAGTGATGGAGTTTGGAGCCATAGTCTTGTAACGTCTTTGTTCTTGTCTCTCGTTATGTGCTGTATGGTTCTGTGAACGTAGCCGTGATGTTTCGTGAACTTATCCTGTCCCTACAGTCATGTTTTTATGATTTTCCCCTGACGACGGAAGCCCATCACAGTTTTTAATAACTTTGGAACAAAAACGAACCCCCCCCCTCACCCCAGTTATTTTATTTTCCTATGTTAAGAAGCATTTCCCTCCGCTCATAATCAAACATTCCCCATTTCCTGTCTTTTAGATAAAATAGTTCTCAGGGTCATATGATGACAATGTGCCCAAAGATAAGACCTGATAATACACACGAAACATACGATAGAGCATCCACTGTACAACACGACAAAAAACACATCGTTATTCTCAAACGAGGACAAGACAGGAGGCAAGGACAGTACATCACTCTTATTATGCAGAACAAACATTGAACAACTGGAGAATTCATTTCCAAAAACATGATAATTGACATGAAAGTTAACTCCGAAAGAGTAGACATTTCTTTATCGATGTGAATTGGGGGGGAAAATCTTACAAACTAGGAAGTGTTGTATCAGCTTGCCTCTATGTCTGGGCCACTCGAAGTTCTAAGTCAAAGTGTTTCTTTCAAGTCATGTATGTCTATGAAACAAAGTATCTCCCACAACTTCAGGACAGTTACCTTGGGCAGCCCGTCTTTTGTAAGTTATCACGTAGCTTCTCGTTGGAAGCTCGACGCTACATTTTTGCAAACCATTCTTCTTCTTCTTCTTTTTCTTCTTCTTCTTCTTCTTCTTCTTCTTTTTCTTCTTCTGCTTCTTCTTCTTCTTCTTTTTCTTCTTCTTCTTCTTCTTCTTCTTCTTTTTCTTCTTCTGCTTCTTCTTCTTCTTCTTTTTCTTCTTCTTCTTCTTCTTCTTCTTCTTCTTCTTCTTCTTCTTCTTCTTCTTCATCTTCCTCTTTTTCTTCTTCTTCTTCTCATTATCATTAATTCATCTCTGCCGATCACCAAGTACCCACCCACAGCTGAGAGGACAGCGACACTTCCCTGACTATCCACCCACAGCTGAGAGGACAGCGACACTTCCCTGACTATCCACCCACAGCTGAGAGGACAGAGACACTTCCCTGACTATCCACCCACAGCTGAGAGGACAGAGACACTTCCCTGACTATGCACCCACAGCTGAGAGGACAGCGACACCTCCCTGACTATGCAAAATCCTCCACGACTGATCCGGGACATTAAATCACAACTGTTTTTCTATCGACAAGCCTGACTCCCTACCGGTAGGACTTCACGACTTCCGACTCCCAGAAGCTGGGAAGACCGTTATCAATAGCTTCCTTGTGCAGGATTTCACAATATTATAATACATTCATTGTATAATACATTCATAATGTTATAATACATTCATAATATAATACATGTACATTCATAATGTTATAATACATTCATAATATACACAGAAATCAAGGGCGACAACTCACTCTCCAAACACAGGAACTAATCACAACTCACCAGCCCACCCTTGTGACCCAAGCTACGTACGCCCCCCTGTGTCAAGGAAAGACAAAGCTACGTACGGCCCCTTGTGTCAAGGAAAGACAAAGTTACGTACGGCCCCTTGTGTCAAGGAAAGACAATCCAATAAGGTAGATAAACTGTATACAACATGACCCGTACGCCGGAACACACGAAACGTGTTGACCCGCTTTGCACACAACCTCGTAAATGACACTTCCGGGGTCAAACGATGACCCCTTGGAAGGCTTATCACCTCATAATGCGCTCTTCTCCCTCCCTCTGAGAGGTCTGTAGCACAAGCTCCCTGCAACTCTAGAAACACAGAACAGTGTACAACTCCTTTCTACAACGCTATCTATACAAACCTCGGGGCATAATATCAAATGACGTCAGGAAATAAATACAAGAACACGCTATATATAGAAGAGATGAAATCAGTGCAAGTCAACCTCTTAGAGAGCCAGCATCCACTTTTCCCCCTTTCAAGAGTCTGACATTTTTGGTAACAACTATGATCGTGTCTTTCCAAGCTGGGCTGTACCTGTACACACCAAAAGTCCCTGTCTGGTTACCCCCCCCCCCCAATCTCCCCGCACCATAACACGACCCAGTCGTGGGCGACACCGCAAAGGTCAACAAGCACTGCGTGGATTCATGTAGTCGTCCTGGACCCTTCAGGACTCATTCCTCGAAAAGCGCCACAGGAAAAAGCTTTTGACGAGAGTCATAATGAGTGGTCACGTGATTGGGTGGTTGGAGCTTAACAGGCGCTTGTGACAACAATTCTGCACCCTCATATTTCATAGACGGCCATCTCCATCCGTTTTGTTCCAGTTCACACCAGCGTAATTTCTAGGTGACATCGCCAGTTGCACCCGCTCAAAAAGACAATCAAATCTGAACTAGTGTAAAATCTGTTTCCTGAATTCCAACATCGTGCGCTCTCAAAATCAAATACGTCACTCACAGATCTCCTTTAGAAGTGGAACATCGTGATGATAGAGCGCTATGTGTGACAAACTACTTAGAGAGAATAGATTTCCTCAACTCCTCCACTGGATTTCTTTGATAGTTATTGTCAGTTCGTGTTCTAAATACACAGTACAGAGATACGTATTCATTGGTGACAAAGACACGGCTACGTCTGGTCTCACCACAGACCAACAGAAGACAAGCAGAAATCCAAACGTGTCGGGGGGTCTGAGGTATTGTTCGTGTGTCTGAAGTTTTGTCCATGGGTCTGAAGTATTGCCTCTGTCCGCGCCACGCAGAGACACACACGACACACTCGGTACCGGGGAGTCCAGAGTTTGGAACATTCACAACGAACTGTGAAGACAGATTGAGGTCCCAAGTTCCGGGGATCAACTTTTGGTCTCAGCGAACATATAACCTCCTCTTCCTCGGCTTCTTCTGCCGCCTCTTCACCTTTCGTATCAAGTTTTTAAACCGCTTCACTTTGGTCTTGTCCTTGCTGTTGAGGTGTCTCCTCTCCCGAGTCAACAGCTTGATGAGGTAGCGACGTTCTTGCAGGTTCAGCGCTTCCGTTTCCGCCTTGCGCTTGAGGCGCCGGAGTGTTCTGCGCACGTCCTTGGGGATGTCCCATTTCCGGGAACGCCTGTAGGTTATCTTGAGCAGACGCTTCTCCGCCTTGCGCACTTTGATGTCCAGGCCTGGGAGGAAACACGGAATCTGGGTCAGTTCGAATATTTAACAGCTTTGTGGACTAGATTTGAATAAATCTCCCCCACCCCATCCCATCCCCCACCCCCAACCGCCTTTCGCGAACACCCCTTTGATTAAACCACTTGTTTGTAAACTTGAAGATGAAATAGTGAAATAGAGATGTTCGTAAACTTGAAGATGAAATAGTGAAATAGAGATGTTCGTAAACTTGAAGATGAAATAGTGAACTAGAGATGTTCGTAAACTTGAAGATGAAATAGTGAACTAGAGATGTTTGTAAACTTGAAGATGAAATAGTGAACTAGAGATGCAAAACGGGATATTAAGGCTGAAGGCCTCTGTCAAAACACGAAATTGTACACAGGTAGACACATATGTTTAGTTCTGAGGTTTATAAGATCTGTACCATCTTTTAAGTTACAAGATTGATCAAGTCTTTAAGGAAGGAAAAAAACCCACAGTAACCCTCCCCCTTCCCCCTTTCTCTCAAGTCCCCACTTATTTTTCAACTCCGATGGCTTTTAAAGAGTACATAAAGTTACGCTCATCGCAATATCAAAAACTTTTGAGAACATGGTGTGTCTGTCCTTAAGTCCACACTACCTCAATAGAGGTACGGTAAGCATTTTTTTTTTTTACAATTGAGCGGCGAGCCTGATTTGAATCCCCAAAACAGACACTTTTTAACGTAAGATTTATTTGAGGAGCTTTGAGGCTCTTCTGTTTCGAGTCTAGAGGAAAAACTGCAAACCCTAAAATAAAAAAACAAAACCCCAAAACAAGCCAATATCAATTTTAAAACTTTAAAAAATTAGGTTTAGTTACATCACTTATTTATCCTTTCGCTTCTTTTCTATTCTCATTTTGTACTCTCCCTTTCTGAAAAAAAACCAATGATAAAGAAATGTGTGCGTGAATTACAGACTTCGGTGGAAAATGATAAAAGACGGAATGAAATAAACAGAAACTGTACTGGATTTCCTTTTCCTTTTCCGCTTCTTCTTCTTCTCCGGTTTGACCTTGACCTTGCTGTTGTCCGGTGCCTTGCTCCGCCGGGGTCTGTCCGTGTCGTCTTTGATGTCTGCAGACACACATGGTGACGTCACAAGATGGGAATACAGAGACACTAGTGGTAATAATAATGATAATTTATAACATTTATATAGCGCATTTCCAAAGAAAGTAGCTCAATGCGCTATACATTGGAATACCCATTTTCGAAACCTTTCTTACTACTTCCTTTCTTCTCGTGCAATATATATTTATGTACACTCA